ATTAGACTATGCTGTGGCAATGCTCAGTGACATTATGGTTCAATCACAAAGCCCACCCAGACACTCTTCGATATCAGCAAGGACCATTGAAATTGCTTCTGTGCCCCTTAAGCTCTGTAGCATCAGTACTAAACCTGCCAAGACTCTCCCTAAGTCACGCTGAGTATGGTAGAGAAAGTTCTGGAGAGATGGGACTTTCCTTATGGCTTTTGAGGGTTGTGGTCTGCAGACTCAACAGGCCTTGTGTGAAAAAAGCCTCATTTTTACTAGTTAATTACTACTTAATTCAAGCCACTATAAAACAAAATGCAAACAAGTATTTGCAATAGCCTCTTATTTAAAAGAGACAGCACAGTTGTGTTTTACCAAAGACACATATGAAAAAGTGAAAGAAAAATCTAAACTGAACCTGCTTATACTAAGGTTATATCATAAAGGCTTCTCTTTCCTCACTGTTAATGCCAGTTCCTACCCGACACAACTGTTGTCAATGTTTTGGTTGCATTTGTGGCTTCTCTTCTTCAGCAGGTAACATAAATGTACATCAGAACAATACAAAAAACAAGCAGGCACGTAATCGTATGAAACATATTAGCAGCCCTTGCCCAGGATTGAACAGGACTGTTATTAACACGCTGGAGTTGCTTATCTCCAGTCTCCACATTTTATGCATGAAATCAACAGGCAGCAGAATCATCAATAAATGATCTTTCTTCTTTCATTGTGTAGGTCAAATTCTTCATTAGTTTAATAAAACTTCTAAGCTTCTGGTATTATTATGCCAAGGGTAAACATCTCATTTTGTCAAAATACGATTGATCATAGGTAATTCAAAACTTCAGAACCTGGCTGCCAGGAAAATACTGATAAGGAATAAAACCACATCGTTTCACCCTTTCTTATTGAAGGAAAAAAACCCACCAACCTCTCAGTAAAGCTTCCACAGTTCTCTCAACAAGGTAAAGTTCCATTAAAAATGTCTCCACTTATAAACCTTGTTAAAACAATACTTTTCAATCTACACCCTTGCTCTGCTATCACCATCTCATAGCTGTACTGATGCAACTATAAACCAAAATGCAGCTTCCCACGTCTTTTTACTTTTCAGTGGTCCAATTCACAGTTGCATAAGCATAACCAAGAGGTGAAGAATAAGCATCCAGTAGAAGCCATAAACCTTTAAGTCATCCACTGCAAAACAAATCAATACAAAACCCATAGGGACCTACTTAGCAAACCTTACTCTGTGAGCCATCAATGAAAAAAATGGCAGCAGATGCTACACAAACTGAAGATGCTCATCGTCCTGGCTTTTCAGAAGAACAGGAAGAAGTCTAAATAGTAATTCCGGGTTAGAGAGCAGCACCAACATCCTTTATTTCAAGCACTGTTTTTAATTGCCATTCCTCTGCACAAAAGGATCACACTGATGACTTAAATCCCTTCTGACATAAATCTATGATATACACAACTACTGTGAGGCGCAACTTTAAAACATCCAGCCAAAACTGGCTCGCTCTTCATTATGAACACCAAGCTAGACTTCTTTGCTCCCAAGTTTCTAAACTGAGATGTGGCTTAATAATCACAAAAATATCTGAAACAAAGTATTTGTTTCAAGAACAGTTCCTAAACCAGCCTCCCCATGATCACAAGCTCTGTAAGATGCAGAGAGGCAAAAGCAACTTCACTAAAATGACATGAAGTACCAACGTATGCAAGCAAAAGGTTCTGTAGCAGGCCCAATTTGTCCAGCGTAAGCCTCAGCACTATGAATTAATAGGAGAATGTGCATCTTATAGAAGCTTCTTCTGTTCTTCCACTTATTTTCAAATGTCTGTCTTCAGTATTTGGGATCGCTCCTTTCTCTTCACCTCTTGCCCATTCGCTCAGCAAACAAAGATACTGCTTCCTAGTAAAAAGCTTTAATTGCAGTATGAACTGAACTACTAGATTTTTAAACTTGTACTTTAAGTAAGGTGGCTTGATTCCAGCTTTTAATAACTGAAGAAAGAGACCAACTCATGTAACAAGTGATCTGGACAAGACACAGAAAGAAAACATGTCGCTCAGCTTGCCACAAGCTGCGTGCAGGAATGATGAAAGACAGGCAACGTGCAACAGAAATCGTACAATAGCTTACTTCTTTTCCTTTGCTTTGCATGGTCTGACAAGAAGTTTTGTGATATGCGGTGACTGGATTCAGAAACCCTTAAGAAAAATCTGTATGTGTTCACATGAAGAAGCATACACACATTAAAAAGAGCAAATTTCAGCTCACAGACAGAATCTGTTATCTTGCAAAAACGTTCAGAGAGCTATTCATTGAAAATGCCGCCTTTCTACCATGTCAACAGAGAAGTCATTTTCAGCTATCGAAAATGTTTTCCCTTGAAATGCTGTAACATTCCCATTCTCATCAGAAAAGCAAGGTAACGAATATGAATATTTTAAGGGCTCATAACATGGTCTAAAGAGAGCTCTTGCATCAATAACCCTGTATGTTAGGAGCAGGACTTGGCTTGCAAATAAATGTCTGGCAACAAAACTATTTCAGCTGGAACAGGTTTATATCACAAAACTGTTTATATCAGCAGTTTCTTTCATACACATAAGTAGCCATAAAATAACATTACAATACAATAATTACATGCCTATATTTCCATAATGATAGATAGCTTTATTTTTAATAATGTAATAGTACATTTAAAGGAGTTAGTAGATAACTCCTGTATACTTATGATAGAGCATATTAGGCAGATTCTGCAAGACATTCCAAGGAAGATACTCATCAGGGTATGACAAAGACCTGCTTGATCAATTATCTTTACAATTCATGATGGGACTGGGCCCAAGGGCAAAGACAACAAATACCAACTGCTTCATTCAGCTACTTGGATTAATGTGGAGCATAAGCAAAAAATATAAAATATCCAGGAGCAAATCATTTGCATTCAACATGACAGTTTCACCAGGGTGTTTGGTGAACAAAGCAGGAATTTGGGCATGTATTTGTACAACTGTTCAGTTGGCATTGTGTTCTGGCAGAGTAAGCAGCCTGGTCTAAAACTTGTGTGAACATCCTAATAACCTGAGTAACGTTACTAGGACACTCAGCTCCAAATTGGGGTAGAGTTAAACTGATCTCCTGTTTCAGACAAACAGAACTCAGAGTAGGAATCAGTGTATTTTTACTAGCAACCAATGAATGAATTTAAACCCTGTCATGCCAGACTAAGTCCATGCCTGAAAATAGTACAAGCATATTCAGCTAAACTGAGTAAGTTCTTCATGCCTGGACTCATCTGAGTTCTGAAAGCAAAGGCAATAAAGCGGCAGACAAAATTGTCAGTGTGACAACTTAATATTAACCAAGTCTCAGTACCACAATGTACTGTTTATATCCATGATACATCTGATGCTGAGAAAGTTACTCAAAACATGGAGCAAGTCAGTGGTAGAACCTGAAATTAAAGACTCAATGATTTTGGTGACCCATACACAAAAATACAGCCCACAGCAGCTATATCAAGTAGCATTTCCCAACTCATCTGAGGCACCTGCCTAAAAGGTTATCAACTTACAGCTAATGACAGAAAGGACTGCAATACTTCCTCCTTACTGCCACAGACCCCTGAATGTATCACTGGCTCATAAAAATGACATGAGGTAGTGAACAAGGAGAAATGAAGTGAAAGCTCCAGGAATTCTTATTCTTGATCCTGAAAATTGTAGCAAACGCATTGGGCATGTGACAAGAGTACCCCTCTGCCAGATCTACACAAGCAGACACACTAAATGCTTTCAGACAGCCATCAAGATTATCCAAGCCATTAATGAAAATATTCAGAGCAAAAGGAAATTACTTTTTTTGACCTATGTTGGTTAAAACAGATGAGTGGATTGGACTCTTTCAGTTTTTTAATAAGATTTACAAGCCATGACAGCATAGCAAGGGATAACTGACAAGGTTACCTCTCAGCTGGTCACACTACATTTTATGCGTAAACAAGTGTTTATGCATATAAAAACCTGCTTTTACTATACAAGCTTGGGAAGAAAGCACGAGCTCCAACGCTCAGTTTGGAGCCTTAAAGTAGCAGCTGAAGTGGCCAACACTGTACATAAGATGGCAATGATAACACCAGAGCTATGTCTGAAGAAAATAATGGCTGTAGACATGTTCAGATACTAGCAATAATTTCGCATTAATTCAGATGATTCTTTGAGGAACAGACATAATGCTAAATAAGCATGGGAAAGGTTGGCAGTGCCATGGCACCATCAGACCAAAGCCAGTTTATTGATCTTGTTATGATGTACTCCACTTGTAAACAAAACTGATGAATAGATGTCTTCCCACTCCAATTAAGAGAAGCAAGAACGACAGTTGTTAAAAAGTAGGAAAGAACCAGATCAATAGAATAGAAATGTTGCAAACAAAAGATGCCTGGCTCTTCTGCAGAAGATCATGACTAATTTGCTCTTCTCTCTTCATGAGAGTACAATATGGGATTAGACAAATGCTCGTAAATTAAGCTACCAATAAAAACAGAGAGGAAAGCACATTGGCCATAAGAACAAACCACTGTCACATTTACTTAGGTTACGCATTTCAGTCCTCTCATGGTTTTTAGATCATTACCACATGATGGCCTACATATATAAAAGACGCATAAAAGCATATGCTACTTAAATATTTAGAGAAACTCATTAAATGATGTTTTGCATCACAAATAACATGCTTTCAGAAAGCAGCAAGTAGACAAAGTCTTCTCAAGCTCCAACTAAACCAACTTCCAAAAGTTTTCTGACGTGATAGCAAGATGTCATACCATGTGTGCCAGATGATTCCTATAGTAAAATCTGTGTACAGTACAGTAGTACACACACACATGCACACACACGAGAGAGCATAATATGAACAAGAATGACAAGAAAGTATAAGAAAAAAGCAAATCCATTCAGGTAAACAAGCACTTTCCTTAAAATAGATTTACCTGAGACTCCAATTCTCCTAATTTACGCTTCCTGGCATGAAGAGCTTTACTTGGAAAAGCCCAGAAATAATTGGAAGTTCCAATTCTATCAGTGTCCACCATGCCATCATCAACTAAGCTCTGCAGAATCTCTTTCACTGACATCGAGGCTAATAAAAGCAAAAATATTAAATTAGAAATTCATAGCATCTAAACTACAGAAAATTATGCAAACCCTAAGTTTACAATAATCTGCATGAATATTTTACTCAGCATCGGTTAGCTGGAAGATTTCAAGAGGACACCATGCCTGATGCTTCACTTGAAGGGATAAATCTCAGATCAGCAGTTTATACATCAAGGCTGCTACTCGGTACAGTCTGCTACCAGATGTTTGTAAAACGCCACTCATGAGTATCATAAGACATACATGCATATTACAGTACAAACCATAACAAACTCATGAGAGGGTATTTGAGAAGTTATCTTGCAATCTTAATTCCAACATGGATTAATTTACAATTTCTTGATTAGGAGTGCAATTACATTTCACTTCGTAATGCCTATCAAAGCATTTAACAGCAGCAGAGGCACCAAAGCCATCTGTCTATAAACTCAGGAGAAGCAGATCTTACTTTTGATTATAGTCAGCTCCAATACAAAAAGTGAACTGCAGTCAAAGGATCCAAAACATTTCTGAACGCAATTGTTCATTTTCTAGCAAATGTGTGGTATAACTCACCACTTTAAGAATTGTGTCTGTTCCAAGTAATTGTTATTATACTCAAGCACTGCAGACATAAAGACTTTTGAGCTACTTTATGGTTTTCAGTGTCTGACTTTCAAGTCTAAAGGGGATCTCAGATCAGAAACACCCAATCTTTTGGAAGCTACAGGTTGGATGCCAGCATGGGGGCATTTTCACAGCCCAGACATTGCTCTTTCCAGAGTAACTGGGGTCTAGGGTGAATGGCTAAATGCCTCTATATACAGAGGCAGGATGAATGTGGACTATTAAAATGTGTTGATGGTTTTAGAAACTCTACATTCCAGATTTTTTAATACGACATTCCATTGCTTGTATTTACTGTTTTGCATCCTCTTCCTGCAAATTATGATTAAATATATGCATTGACAAACCAATCAAGACCACAGCACATCTCTTCAGAAGCTTGTCAGTGTCCCTCTTAGCTGAAGACATAACTGAAAAACGCTGCTTTGCAATATTCACATATGCCTGCAGTTCTTCCAAGAAGCTCATTTACTCTTGCAGTGCCATAAAGACATGCTAGTCAAGGACAGTGGCAACTACACAAACTTTATGCCTTGCACCCTTTTGTTAATGAGCACAGAAGGAAGCGGAATGAGGAACATATAAAACACTTCAACAGCACAAGATAAACCCTTCTGGACCTAATCCTAAACCAATGGATCTCATCAGGAAGACTTTCACTGAAAGACAACCTCTTTCCATTTACAGCTGTCCAGCCATTTTCTGGGGGGAGAAAAGCTTATATGGCCTGTGTAAATCTGGACTAGCATTTTAAGATATTTGTGACATTACAGACAGACATTTAAATCCTCTGTTCACTACCTGAGTGCACTGCAAGTCAGCCATCTCAGAGCCTAGGAAAAATCCCATCCCATTTAACATCAGTAAACTGAGATAGCAGTATGCTGTTCATGCCACTTTTAAACCTACAGCCCTGCCATTGACAGGTCTCCCTTTCTAGCTATTTTTCCCCATTACAATCACAAACCTAAGATTGTAGCCAAGAAAGTTTACACTGTATGACCTGTATGACTTACGAGAATTAAGTTTTGTAACACTTACTAATCCCTTTTTCTTTTGGAGCAATCTTCTCTATATCCTTCAACTGGAACACATCTTTCTGTGCAAAACATAAAAGACACTTTAGCTCCAAATGACAGCATCATCTAAGTCTGGGTGGGTTTTTTACACTAAATTGATGCAAAAAAAAAAAGCAAGTAGGAAATACATTCCATATTTATGTTTTGCTAGGGAAATAGGCTGCACATCCCTCAATAGACTTAGAACACTTATTAATTAAATAATTTTAAAAGACTATTATTGTAACAAGTCCTTTTCTGCTCTTTGGTGATCTCAAGTCACAGAACCACGGAATAGTTGAGGCTGAAAGGGACCACTATTCCTTGAAATGGGGATGGCGGTCATCCATCCCCATTCCAAATGGAAGTTGAGTCATCCAGCTCAACTTCCCTGCTCAAGCAGGGTCACCTAGGTCTTGTCTCTACTTAAGGCTGTAAACCTCTTAGAACAGACAGAGCACAGGTTACACTGTCAGCACCAGGTGCACCACATTGCTCAAGTACTCAGATACCACAGTGTTCTTTTTAATAGGTGAAATATTGTGAATCACCTATGTCACATTCTAATTCTATCTCTGCTTCTGGATCCCCTGGTTTCGTCTCACCAGTGACCTCTTCCAAGTCTCCTCATCTTTTCTACACTCAAATGTCTTCTTCCTCCTCCCACAAACTGCAGTGAGGTATTTCCTAATGTTCCTAATCCCTCTGATAGAACAAAGTCAGAATTAGAAAATTTGAATAGAGAGCACCTGAAGCATTTGGTATCACCTAAGCATCTGAATGCCTTGGCTCCGCCTGGGGATGAGGCACCTGATCAGAGGCTGTACAAATCAAGCTCTGTCCCTGTAATTTATACATTGGTGACACAGGGCATCAGTGAAATGCACAGCAGGATATACAGAGGTCATCTACAGCTAAGCTTCTTTCAGGACCTGTTTTCCCAACAACGTAAATATAGGAGAATTACAAGTTACTTACTGTTTCAAAGAAGATCTCCATCATGCGGGCTCTCTTCTCCTCAAAGCTCAAACCTTTTTTCTTGGACTAGAACAGGGTAAAAGAAACCAGCAAACCAATACATTCAGCAACCTGAATAATTAACATCTATTCAGAATTCAAATCTATTTACATCTAAGTTATATTTGCTGTCCTTTAAAATACTACACCACTAAGCCCAGACTTTCAGATAAACTACTTCTTCCCAAAGAATCATTACACCAAGCTAACACCTGCAGTCTAACAAACTGAGGGAACCTACACTGTAAATTTGGAGCTGACCTTTCACACAACCCAATCCAGCTCATGCCCCCATGTTTCTTGGCATACCAAGGCCAGGCTGGATGGGGCTTTGAGCAACCTGGTCTACTGGAAGGCGTCCCTACCTGTGACCTGTGGGTTGGAACTAGATGGTCTTTGAAGTCCCTTCCAATGTTACTAGTTTTAAAATGTATATTTATATCAAGGGTCAGCAACTCACCTAAATGTTTAATAGTCCTTAGAAAGATAAGAAGGAATATCTTTTGGGTTTGGGTTTTTTGTTTCAGGATTTTTTTTTGTTAGAGCTGTTATTTATCTTGTGATACAGAGGCGCTAGTGTGAGATGTAGTCCATTTAGTTTTTTATCAAGGAGATAAAGTACATTTGAAGGTACTACATCTTTCTTCAAACTTCCTACCTAACCTTCTGATTTCAAAGTCACACTTTAAAAACTATGCTTCTTGCTCTGCAGTTGTGTGACTGAGCAGTAAATAACATGGATTGAAATAGAAGCAAAAGGGAGAAATGACTACTCATAAACTGCTACCTGTAATACAAAACCAAGAGATGCTATTTTGACATGCCCCTGTAAAATCAGGACATAAAGTACTTCACAGAGAACTGGAGTTTTATTAACAGCATCTAGCACACGCCTCAACAACCCAAAAGCAGTGGCTGTAACATTAAACAGGACTGTTTCCCCTTGCCCCACTCCTTGCTTCATGGTCTATGTGACCCTGCACTGCTGCATGTGACTACAGGAGACTGAAAGGGGGATGGAAAGAGCAAAATAGGATGTTGGCAAAAGGTGGTCTCCCTCAAAAAAAGAAAAACAAAACAACATAAATATTGCTGCTCTGCAGTCAATGGAAGTAAGGATTCTAATAACATGGTGCTTCAAGAAAGATGACTCGGGCTTGTGTCCAAGTCGTGCTGGAAGGGAATTAACGGCTAATGCCATTTTTTACTTCTTCACTATTGCTTCCTTCTTAAACAAATCGCACAGTAGGGCGGCACAATGTTTAAAACATCTTTCAGGAGCAAAACAGCCAGACTGACTTAAATTTTTAACAATAAATTGAGAAACCAGCTTATGCAGTTACAGTAACACGCAGGCAGGAACACAAGCAAATCAGTACATTTAACAAAAGCACTATTAATACTTTCTGAAGTCTCCTCCCTCCTGCTTTAGCTGCTGATGCCCTACATCAGCACTGACAACACAGCTGTCTCTGATGACATCAGTACATCACAGCATTGGTATCCGGAGCCTCAACATACACACAAGTAGGTGCACGAACAGAGGACAGACCGATCACCTTCTTTCTCCCTGCCTTCCCAAACAGCCCGAATGACATCTGCAGCAAAAGGAGCAAAAGCCACAAAGCCTGACATCCCTCAGGCGCCAACCTTTACACCAGCACTCCGACAGAGAAAAGTGACAACGTGTTTTCCAGGTAAGCTTTATTAACCTTCACGTTGGTTTCGCTCTCCTACCTCTCAGCTAGGTGCTCACACCTGTACACCACAGCAGGCAGATAGCTGCTCGGCACACTTGGCCACACCGGCCACCCCTTCAGCTCCCCTCACCTCCGCACCACCCGCGGCCACACAGCGGTACCCCCGCCCGAGCTGCGGTTGCGGGGCCTGCTCTTCCGGGTTCCTTAGATTTACATTGCCCTTCAAGAACCCAAACATGGCCCACGCTGCACCCCCCGCACCGGCGCCGCGGGATCCTCAAGAGCGGGGGGAGCGCGACAGGGGACACGGCCCAGCAGCCCCGCCGCGCTGCCTCAGCGGCCGCAGCTACGAAAGAAAGAGGAGGAGCGGGTTACCAGAGGCAATGGCCGGGTTGCTCCGCCAGCTCAACAGCCTCATTAACCGGACACGGCGCCGCGGCTCACGCCGCGAAAGAGAGAGGAGGGAAGGAGGGAGAGCAGCAGCCTCGCCGCAGCCGCCGCTTACCATTGTCGCCTCCGGCGCGGTTTGATTTCGGCGCCACCGGGAGGGAAAAGGCACCGGGCACCGCCCCCAGCACCGCCCCCAGCTGCGCGGCAAACCCCGGCCGCTGCGAGGAGCTGCCGGGGGCACCGGTGCGCTGTAGCCCGGCTGAGGCGGTGCGGAGGGCCGGGCGAGGGGCGGGATTGAGGCGGGGCCGGGGCGGACTCGGGCGGGCTGTGCCTCGGGCGGTCATAGAGTGGTTTGGGTTGGAAGGGACCTTAAAGCTCATCCGGTTCCAACCCCCTGCCGTGGACAGGGACACCTTCCACTTGACCAGGTTGCTCCAAGCCCCGTCCAGCCTGGCCTTGAACACTGCCAGGGATGGGGCAGCCACAGCTTCTCTGGGCAATACAGGAGAGGAAAAAAGACGCATAAAGTTGAATTCCGGTGCAATCAACCATGGAATATACCTTGCGTTTTTAGAAAGCAGTCTTGCCCGCCCAGAAAGCAGCTGTCATTCCTCTCGTTTTATGTGCTGTAATACCATGTTTGGTTTGGGGGGTTTTGTTTGGTTTTTTAAACACATGGTGCAAGTCACAGTGAATGTGCTGAGATGTTGGGGCCATGCTTCAGGTTTACTTTTGCATTTGGCATAGCCCAGGCTTTAGAGCAAAATCCCTCAAGTTTTCTTTTTGTTTCCTTGTGTTTCTCAGTACGTACCCGTTTTGTGTTTTGGTAGAAAGCGCACTTTTCTTGACTGACGCCACTGCCATATCTTCAGTATGTATCTCCTGTATTACTGGAAATTATAAAAAATAACAAAATAGAAAGTTTAAAAATATTTTAAACCCCACCACCATTGGCCCTAATCGTCAGGTAAAGAGTAGTTGTTTCTGAGTCTCTGCCTACAGTGGTGGGGCTGGAGACCCGAGGATAGGAGCTTGCTGCCTCCGGGTGGCTGCACCTCTGAGGTGAGGCCCTGGGGCTCCCTGCCAGCTGTGCAATGCATGTTCTTTGCTCTCTGAGGCCTACCAGCAAAGGTGAGAGACAAACACATTAACGGTGGTCTACATGTCTTGTATGAGTAGCCCATTACAGGAGCAACAGGACCTGGAGAAATAAACCTCTCTGCCCCTGGAAGCAAAGGACCTGGCCACATCTGGTGCTGCTTGAAACAGTTGTTTGTTGTGATGGCTGATCTAGGGGCCAGGTTGGATGGGGCTTTGAGCAACCTGGTCTAGTGGAAGGTGTCTCTGCCTGTGGAAGGGGAGTTGGAACTAGATGATCTTTAAAGTCTCTTCAAGCCCAGACCAGTCTGTGACTATGATTCTATGACTTCAGTTGCTTACAGTTTAATTATTACTTGTGCTGAGGTGAATTGCCTTCCTTCAGCTATAGCAGTTACGGGAAATTGCTCTGCAGTTTAAGTGATGGGTTTGCATCTGCCACACTGATTCCAGAGTTTAAATTCAAGCAGATGAAAACATGTGAGCCAAAATATGCAGGCAGTCCCCGTGAGGGTGTTTTGTCACCTTTGCAAGGTGCTCCCTTTCCTGAAACCTGGGGTTCTCTTCCACACAGACCTGGGATATGGTCCGTTTCCTCATTGTGCATGCCAGTGTATTACTAAAAGTGAAATACAGATTAGAAAGGACGTTGTTAATACAAAGCTTCTTACTCATACAGAACACAAAGCTGCTCCTTCTTCCACACTTTCTTGTGCACCACATTTTCAACTCTCTATCTGGCAATGAAATCTGCTGGCACACCTCCTCATCTGTTGCAAGGGCTCATATTCCGTTCCCCCACTTTTCCCTTCCTTTGGCCAGCCCTCCAAGTGAGCATGTCCCCATGCTCCCTGTAGCAGTTATTTTCCTCCTGTCACCACGACCTCCTCTCCCCAGGGACATGGGCTCCTTCCTGCTCCTTCACAGCCAAAATAAAACCAAGCTCCACTAATTGCTTTACCACTGCCAAGCAAATGGTTGCTACCACATTTGCTGAGCACGTGTTGCAATGTGAGTTTTCTCCAAGCGACATGTGAGGGGAGGGTGGGTGTCAGAGCTGAACATGCTGCTGGGAGAAGAGGAAGAGGAGATGAAGGAAGGGGATTCAGAGAGACGCTCACTCTGAAGCGGCCTTCGGGCATGTGCCGCAGCACTGCTCCTGTCTCCCCATCACACCTGGAAGTAGACTGTCAGCAAACACCCAGGTCTAACCTCTTCACACACCTGGAGCCACAGCTGGCAGGTGTTCCTGATCTCACCAGTTTAATGTGATCACAGCAACCAAGCCAGCCCAGCACATCCTCCTCTAAAACATTAGGTCATGCTCTTGGGTGACAGTGGGGCAGGAAGGAGACTCAGCAAGTTCTTCTGCCCATGTCCCTGGGGACAGCCAGGGTTAGCTGCCCCAAGTGCATTGGCAGCCCGTAAACCCTTCCTTGGCCAAATAGTTAGGCTTGACTTACTTTGTAGTAGGAGGTTCCTTGACACCTCCCAGATTTCACAGTACCAGATCAAAACTAGCTGGCTTGAAAGGCCATGGGGTGGAAGAGGTCCCAAACAGAGGGAGAATATATAGGAGTATCTCCTGCTTTGTTATGTGACAGTAATTTTCCATTCCTGGGTAAAGGGGATTAAACTACTAATACACATAAGGGTCTGACATTCTTAATGGGCTCCAGAAGGTCTAAATGTGGTATTTCACAAAACTGCTAATCATATAGTATAATATAAAATCAAGATAATAGATGGAAATACTGTGTATGGGGGACGCTTAACTGCTTTTCTGTTAGAAGCCTGTTCTCATTCACTGAGATTTTCTTAAACTTTAGCAGTTTGAGC